GCAATGCAACATTTATGGGTGCCAATGACACAGTCTATGATACCAAGCTGTTAAGATAAACAGAAGAAGAAGAAGAAGAAGACAAAGAAGATGAAGAAAAAAATAACATACCAAAGTGATGTCACTGGTTGCCTGTTTGTGAAGCGAAGGGGCAGCAGCAGCATTGCTAGCTAACTAGCAGCTGCCATATTCGAGGTCATAAGAACTGTGTGCTTTCAATCTCTCTAGATTTACAAATCCAAATCACTACATTTATTTGTGCATTGTGTTTTACGAGTTACGTACACTGACATTTGTTGAGCCATGTTTGAAGGCCAAATTAAATCAGACTAGTTCATAAACACGTCCATAGTGACAATTTAAGAATTTCTTCCAACTACAAAATCACATAAATACCCAATGGAGGGTTTTCATTCTGCGACGGCTCATGTTTACCTGTGTTCTTAGTGCATTATCACTCCCCAGACAAAACATTAATCACAGTCAAAAAAACAAAACAAAAACAGCCACTCAATTGACACCCAAACAAATGTAATGAGCTTTACCCATGGTTCATCCCCTTTGGGCCTTTTCATGTGGGGAAACTTGCTGATCTGCCGTGTCCTCCTTTTCTAATAAAGCTGTCATCAGCTGCCAATGTGCACTTTCATGGCGTCGCTCCAAGCTGGCTGAGATCAATAGCGCCTGTCAGGGAGCGGTCCCTAGGCGTAATAAGGCTGGGAGACACATGGTAAGTAGACCACGAGGCGGGGTGTGTGTGTGTGTGTGTGTGTGTGTGTGTGTGTGGGGGGGGGTCTAGGCAACGTTCTGATTGAATATGGACCCTGATTTCTACAGGGTGACATGGCACTGTCTTTTCACATGGGATGGAAAAATAAAAATAAGATAGTTGGTTATGCATAGATGGGAAGAAACCTGATACAGAATGTAAAGCTATAGCTGTATTTAGTTTACGTTGGCAGGGTGGTGATGTCACAAACCTGTTAGTGTACTGTGATATCATCCATCTCCCATCGGCTTACAACACTTTCTATATATATACATCTATCACTTCGGAAGATCTACAGCTCCGCCAGTGTCATGCATATCATCAAACAGCATGCAAGGTTGGGGAGCCCATAGCTCATGTAGCGCTTTGACATTTTAACTAACCAGACAGCACTGATAGACACACACCGTTTTCTGTGCTGGATTTACTGTTAATGTGACAGACTGATAGAAAGAGCAATTCTCGTGCTGTACCATGCAAACACACACCCACACAGCACAGAGACACAGTTTTATATTGCGTGATGTAAAAGAAGAAGTAGGAATTTTATTTCTTAGTCTTGCACATTAATGATGATATGACATGTCACAAGAACTTTACTGTTCCTCAGAGATTTCTTTTTGTGGACGGTCTGCAACACAGTGACGATAAACAGGCAAATGTATTTTGTATTCTAACACAAATGATTTGTCAACATTTGTTTAAATTAAGTGCAAATGCAGTGCTCCTATGTATAAATCCTAACATAACTATATTCCTCATAAATAATATAAAGGCAGCTGATCATCTGGGGAACCAGAGAACTGATAATAATAGAATAATAAAAACTAAGAGGCAATAGCCATATTAGCAGCACTGTGAGGCTGTACTCAGGCATAGCAGTACTTTGAGCTAAATGCTAAATCAGCATGCTAATATGCGCACAGTGCACGCTTACGTTTAGCAGGTATAATTTCCACCATGTTCACCATCTTAGTTTAGTGTTGTGTTAGCATGCTAACATTTGCTACTAATCAGTATGATGCAGTATGACTGCACTAGAGGAAATGTCAGGGGATCACCAAAGTGATTACAATTCATTCCTAGGGAACCATCAATGTCTGAAGAAAAATCTCACATCAATCCGTCCAATACATCAATACATTTCACTGGAAAACACAAACATCAACCTCATGATCTCAGGGGACCACAAAAGTCAGTAGGATTCATTCTCTGGTGAACATGAATGTCTGTACAAAATATAATATACAGGAGGTAGAGGGGGTTGTCCGTTAATCGGAAGGTCGGCGGTTCAATCCCCGGCTCCTCCAGGCTGCGTGTCGAAATATCCTTGGGCAAGATACTGAACTGAATTGGCTGTTCCACCAGTGTGTGAATGTTAGTTTCTGTTTGAGCACTTAGGCTCAGTGAATGAATGGTGAATCCAGATGTAGTGTAAAAGTGCTTTGATTGGTCAAAAAGGCTAGAAAGGCGCTATACAAATAGGGAGCATTTACATTTATCCTTACAACCATGGCTAAAATAATTGTAGTTTTTTACACAATATTTTTTATAAAAATGTGTATTCTACTCCAGTCAGTAAATAAAGAGAAGCTGAGTGGAAGGTGTTCCAGCATGTTTTTCTACAGAGAATGGTTGCAGTTAATCATTTAACAAAGCAAGAAAAGGTTGATTTAACACTCCCACCATTACTTATTCCTGTAAAACAAAAAATCACAAACATGGGTGTGATTTGTTGGCTGTCAGTATTTTCTTTTTTTTTCTAAGGGGACCTAAGCTGTCAAGTAAATGGATCTGGTCGTTTTCACTTCTGTTCCATTCAACTCATGAGGATACACCTGCTTGTACGCTTTAGTTGTGTGGGTTTTAACAGATGAAAACTGACAAAAAAAAAGTTCCCAAACTCAAACTCATAATTTGGTGTTCCATCTCATCTCTGAGTTAAGTGTTCCGATTTCACATGCAATACTGCATTATTGAGCTCACTGATGCACACTCAGGATTGCGTCAGTCATAAAATACAGTATTGCATGTTTAAATGCGTCCAGCGGTGAGGAATTGATTGAAGTTGAAGCGGGCAATTAGTTTCATTGATAACTGTACCGGCGGGGAGGAACACACCGAACACAGGAAGGCATAACACATCTCCTGAATGGAAACAGTCCCATTACTCTCTGTCTGCTGTCTTCACTTCCCTCCTCGCCATTCATCTACAGATATAATGACCAAAGAAAGAGCAAGACGCTGATCTGTCAGGATGATTCACTGTCAATTTACCGGGCTTTTTATAAAGCTCTGCTCTGTGCAGCAGCTGGGTAGATGGACCCAGCCTCCTAACTCTTCTTATAATCTACATATTGACACATATGATAGTAAAGTGCTGATTGGGAACAACCGTGAGGAGGTGACTTCTCAGCAAAGACTTTAATTTGAATGAGTGTGGTGTCAGAAGGTGATAACTGGAGTGGCCATTAGCAGCTGGATTTGTACAGACTATGACAGACATAATATGGTGCTGAGCAGTGTTATGACTAGCATCAATTTGTGCCATCATGCAGCGAGTGCATACCAATAAAATGCTTGTTGTTTCAGTTTCTTGGTGACATGAGAAAGCCACTGGGTTTAATGCTCACAGCACACGTTTTTGTTTGCATCTTCAGAAGGAGATAGGCTTGTTTTGAGAAGATGCATTTTTCTATCCAGTGTATTCCAGAGATATGCCTCAAGGTTTTGCATTATCTCCAAATGGAGTAAACAGAGAGTATCTGAATTATAACGTCTTGGGCTTGTTTGGGTTATCTATGGCCACACATCTGCAAACAAAGCCTGTGCACAACCAGCCGGCTGTCTGGGCCTTGACTAAAGAAACTAGACAGGCAGCAGACTTTCCAATAAGCACAAAGCATGAGGTCTTGTTGCATAGTCTGCACCAGCAGACAGAGGACCTTCTGATAAGTGAACTAGAATCTAGATAAAAAGATAAAACACCAGTAAGTAGGTTATTTCATTATTTGAATGGGCATAACATACTAAATCCTATTTGTGGTGTCAGCAACGCATCAAATACACTTTCAATCGCGTGAGTCTAGCACACAAAAACAGACAGTAGGACTGTACATTTTACTTGAACTCAATCAAATTATAACATTGTAAACCTTATAGGAGTTAATATTACTAAGCAACTTCTTAACTTCATGCAGTGGGGGGAAGACGTACAATAACTAAAGCAATAAACTAAAACCAAAACTAAAAAGCAAAACTCTAAAACCACTCCTTTACATTCAAAATACATGTAACAGTATCCAAACTAAAAGCACTGGTTCTGCATAACAGCCCCTCTCAGTGTTATCACTGGATCACAATGCTTTAACATGAACTTTAACTTGGAGTCGTTTCATTTACAGCATTGCGTCATCTTTTAATGAGCATATTATTTGTAATATTAATCTGAAAAGAAACTATTAACTACAACTGTCCAATAAATTCAGTGGTGTAAAAAGTACAATATTTACTTAAGTTTAAGGGGGTAGTAGTGTAAAGTAAATGGAAATATTCAAATAAGTGAGCTTAAAAGTGTACTTAAATGCAGAACCTACTTGAGTAAATGCACTTCCCATGACTGCCTCATCTTAATATTTACGCAGAAAAAAACACAATGCTGACTGGAAAGAACACAACTAGATACGAAATAATTAAGTCCTCCACAATTTGCAGTAGGTCTATGTAATGTAAGACAGCAGTGACACTTGATGCAGCTATTAAAGGTGAAGTTACTTCAGCAGCAAGCTGTGAGTTTGATCAAACCATGCAGGTGGTATAAACCTTAAGGAGGTCAACAAATCTACTCTACAAATTACAGTACACATTTCTGGCGATTACGAGGCTTCAGCTCATTGATCGGTTTGTCTCTGTGCTTCTTGGAAATAAGGTGACTGGCGCCATTGCGTGGCATAATGGGAAATTGCACGAGTCTGCCTGATAGTCCGAGTTTAGAATCATCTGATACTGGAAGTCTTCTAACCGTGTTCAAGGTTGCCTAGAATTGACTGCTGAAATGCGTTTATTTATTCTAATGTTGCACGGACAGTGAGTGAAAGTCTTTTATTATTTATTCCTTTTAAAACTTGCCATTAAGACCAACTTTCTCGTTCCAGTGTAACGTCCCGTCATGCCTCCTTCACCTCTAACCTTTAAATAACCGAAGCAGGCGATATTTCTGTGTAATTATTACAACCTGGTGGTCTTTAATTAAAGTTAAACCCGAACATCCGAGCGCAATGAACATGAACTACTTTAAGTTCATCCATCCCATTTCCTGGACGAAGTTCCCGGAGGAGGGCCAATGGGGAAGGCATGGGAAAGTTCTCCCCATTTTTTCCGATTACATCGATGCTTCTTAAGGAAGGCAAACACACAGCAGCTCGAGCAGCAGCCCGCTACTGTCAGGAGCGGAGGGGGACATTAAAAGTAGTCTACACATAGGTCTGAGGCCGGCGAGCCAAAAAGGAGACAAATCCTGCTTCACGAGAGAGAAAGGTAAGAGTGCTCTCCAATTTGGAAAATCCACAGTTCATGTGATAAAAACACTTCTGTCTCTGTAGCTTTCAATAGTTGTCAATAAGTGAATTTGGTATTGTTTTTAATCCTCCAACGGATCAGAATATTGTGTTTACATTGACTTTTTTATTGACTTTTGGTATAGGCCTACTGTAGGCCTACTTATTATTATTTTATTACCTTCTGTATTCAGAAGTCCAGATGAATTTCTATTGTATTCTATTAGTCTTTCAGTGTAGCTGAATCTTTGGTCCTTAAGGCTTTGAGTTTTATGATTATTGATTTATTTATCCCGTCTTGTTGTAGATGTTTACAAAAAATATTTAATACAATTATATATGTATATATAATAACTTACAGTATCACAGTAACAGGGCTATGGAACTTAAAATGTGAACGTGACCAGTAGTCCTGTAAAAAAGTTGTGACTTTTTGTGGCTGTGGCACTACTGAGTTCTTGATTATAGGGTTTTATTGTAGTTTATACTGATATAGTCTTATTTTATGCTATTTTCTGTTTCCTAAGGTGTTTCTGTTGGCACTATGTGGTATGTTTGGTTGCCCATAGATAACGGTAATGCTCAAGACAATACCCCCAGAAGTGGATCAGTCCAGTTATCATTTTTGTGCCTGTTCAGCAGTCCAACTTCCCTAACAGTCCATTGTCTTGTCTCATCCTGTCAGAAAAGCTTGTATTTTCACTATTAAGACATTTATTTTTTTCTCAGGGGGGGAAGAAATAACAGAAAAACATAAGCAGTCTAAACAAATAGACAAGTGTCACAGCAGTGCCTCAACTCCCCCAAACAGGATGTTTATTCAGATGTGTGTGTGTGTGTGTGTGTGTGTGTGTGTGTGTGTGTGTGTGTTTCCTGACACCGACTGTGTCATTTATCATTAACTACTTTCATCAACCCCCCCTCAATACTTAAGTGAAATCAGTCACTCTGTGATTTGACTCAGCTTTAATTGATTCATAAATAATTGATTCATAAATCCAAAAAGAAAAATGAACACATGGGATAAGGCTTTTTAATGTAAAAGTTTGAGTGGCCACTCTTGGACTCACTGGTTCCAGTTTTACTGTGAACAGTGAAAGCTTACATTATTTCCATCCGTATTAAATGTTAACTTTAGCACCATGTGTTTTTGTTTTAGTCCGTTTTAGGGTATGGAGGCCTTGTTTTTCCCATGGTGATGATGAGGAGTTGGAGCCCACCCTAAAAACGCTGTGAGCTCATGGAAGAACTAATTACGGGCTGTAGCCAGATACACATGTTCCCCAGTAAAAAGACACTATTATATTGAAAAGGTTGGAGAAACTTTGCTCATTTTTTGCTTATAGAAATCATGAAACACTTTTCATTTGCTGCGCATTTATGACAACCCACCCAATTAGGGGTTAAATGGTGCAAGCCAATGTGTTCAGCCATGTAGCAGTAAATGAAAAGGTGGATTAACTATATGACCTGCATAACAACTACAAGAATCAAATGTTAGTTTGCAAAAGCAGGTAATGTTTTATTTTTGTGCGGGGATTAGGGGTGGGCGATATGGCCAAAAATGTTATCACAGTAAAAAATGTCATATCATTCGATATTGATAATTATCACGATAAATTTTTTTAAAGGCTGATTTTTGCTCCTGAGTGAAAGTTATCCATGCTGCAAATTTCACTATTCTACCAATTCTACCAATGGTGGTTTCTGTCACAAAACCACTTTTAAAGGCAGAGTGATTCGATGAAAATTGCATCGTCCTCCTCAAACTATTCTGGTCTTCATTTAGTATCATTAAATTAGTTATATTCTAAAAAATATTGTTTTACAAAAAGGCTAGTTAACTCTGATATCGTTCTTTTTCAAACATTCTTTCATTCTCCCCCATCTGTCCATCCATCCTTCATCTACCAACTGTCCCTCTTAGAAGCAGAGGATGTCCAGAGCTGACTGGTCCTTCCTGGAGCACCTGCTGGAGGAGGGCCAAGAGTATTCGACAGGCATTGGCCGCGTCTGGCTCACCGTACTCTTCCTCTTTCGCATGCTGGTACTTGGAACTGCCGCCGAATCTGCCTGGGATGATGAACAAGCTGACTTTGTGTGCAACACACAACAACCCGGCTGCACTGCCGTGTGCTACGACAAAGCTTTCCCCATCTCCCACTTTCGCTACTTTGTCCTCCAAGTCATCTTCGTCTCCACGCCGACCATCTTCTACTTTGGATATGTGGCTATAAGGGCTAGGAAGGACAAGAAAAAGGAGGAGGATAAAGAGAAGAAGCAGGCAGAAGAGGGCGGTGGTGGAAGTAAGAGAGGAGAAACTGTAACAGAAAGGCACAGTAACAATGTGACTAAAGACAATGCAGAAGAGAAGGAGAAACAAGAGGTTGGTGGGAAACGTAGAAGAGCTGACAAGCCTCCCCCTGAGACCCCTAAGCTGAAAGGAAGGTTGCTGTGTGCATATGCATTCAGCATCCTGACGAAAGTCTTTCTAGAGGCTGGCTTCATCGTAGGGCTGTGGGTCCTTTATAATGGTTTCATCATTGCAGCAAAGTTTGAGTGCACGGGGTCCCCTTGTCCTCACACAGTGGACTGCTTTGTCTCTCGACCCACGGAGAAGACCATCTTCACCATCTACACTCAGGTGATTGCTGTCATCTCCCTGGTCCTCAACCTCTGCGAGCTCCTCCACCTACTCCAGCTTGCCATCACCCATCGACTGGAGAAACGCTACTGTGCCCAGAGCTAAAACTACCTACCTCGGTCAGAACAGCCGATAACAGCCCAGCAGGAGACTCCAGAGCTCCAAACGGAGGTGTCTTTCAAAGCAGAGAGTCATGTTAACCTCCCCATCCAGGGGGAGGCTACATGCTACCCCAACCCCTGTGAGAGCTACGGGGATCTGGCGATAGAGGTAAACTGGGGACCTGGGGAAGCTGAGAGTGACCTGCTTCCAAGTTATGTGAACTGCTTGGGGGCCATGAGGACAACACATTCCCCTAGAGTCCATTATAATAAACAAGCACACCACACTGAGAAAAACACTAAGGGTGCCCATAAGGGAAAGTCAAAGCAGAAGCATTACGTATGAGATGCCCAATCAGATTGGACAATATGTTGTATATGACTCTGGAAGTTTGGTTTGGTTTCTGAGCCTTCCAGTTTTTAATAAATACTATCCTGCGCATGACTATCAGGAATGCACGGTGAGAGCTCAAATGAAGAAGAACAACTATTGCACTGTGAACTCGATGCCTTAGAGGCGGGCGGACGTTCAATCAGAGATTTACCAGATAAATGGACCTATTCAAAATGAAGCATTTTGAGAACACTCCCCAAGGCAAATAAAATGAGACTCCATAGTCTTTAGTGCTGAATGTGACGGTGGGTAAAAAAATGAAAATGAAAGACTAAGGAGGGGCTGCGGATATTGTGTGTATGGGAGAGTACATAGAACCACAATTAAGCATATTCCCCTGAGATTTGCACTGCAACCCCTGGAGTTCTGTGAAGTCCCCTCCTCTCCCCATGGCTGTGTTCACACTGTGGAATGTACTGGTCTCTGGATCCTGCTCAGATCCCAAGAGGATAATGACTGTGTTGATGCATGCACGCATGCATGCACGCACACAAATGAACTTTTCAACCTTTTACCCAGTGAGTTTTGGTCACTGGAGTTGGGGATTTGGATCGGGGGAAGGCATGGGTAGGTAAACAGAAGAGCCAAACCAGGGGAATTCTGGGATTGTAAACGAATTATCATGGCCAGCAACCATAGTATTTTATCTATGAGGAAAGATGGAGAGAGAGGACCACTGCATACTAGATTGCGAGAGCTGAATAATGGAGCAAACACAAGCATGTTGTTGGAAAATCAAACCATTTAGAGACCTTGGTTGAGAACTCAAAAGATGCATTAGTGATTGCACAATTAATGGACGGAACGCGGTACAGAAATGTGCAAACTTAATAAAAGGAAATGTCTAATTATGTGAAAACTGTATTTAATGTTTAAAGTATTGTGAATGAATGCCAGTGTTAATATTTATTATTTTATGGAAAAATAAAGTTAAAAAGTACCATCAATTAATGATGATAATGATGTCAATTTATGTAATATAATTATTATATAATCATTCAGATACTGCATTATTCACATTCAGTTCATTCCCTACAAGTTGTGGACATGTGATTTTATCTCTTTTCCTTTCTGAATGTAGGGATGAGATTTCTGTGTGGGGAAAATGTCTCAGAAGTGCGTATTGCCTCTCTGTCCAGCCATACACTTTCCACTAACCAAATACTGTCACAATACAGAGGCACTGAATCACTCAAGAGAAAGCACTTTGGGAATAATAGAAAGACGGAGGTGTGGAGAAGAGGATGAGCTTTACAGGGTATCATGAGTATAACCTCCTGAGGGCAAAAAAATAAGGGAGGAACAACTGATTTTATGGCTGTATTCAAATCTGTAGCTCTGGTCCTTTTATTACTCTCTACAGGGGAGATTATCAATTATATGCCAGTAAAAGTTCATATAAGGTGGAATGGTACTTTATGCTGGCTCTTTTTAATATCCCGCGGCGAGTTCTGACTGTTAACGCTGTTTTTCGTGGAAAGCAATTGATAAAATCCAGATCTCAGTACCTTCAACGAAGGTGCTCGCCCAGGCTTGGAATGAATGTGGCCATATGTCTTTTCAGGGCGGCAGCCGCAGCGCTCTGCAATACAGCACTCATTTCCAGCAATTTACTGAACTGTCTCCATGACGATAAGCAGTTATCTATGGCAGGAAAGGGGGTTTATGGGAAATTTAAGTGAGACAGGTTCTCATAAAACAAAGAGCTTGAACTGTGTGAGGCCAAACAAGCAGATAAAAACAGAAATTTAAAAGAATCTGATGCTTTTTCATCCTTTGCTGCATGTCTGCTGTCAATTTAATAATAATAATAATAATAATAATAATAGGGAAGACTATTCCTCAGTCCTCAGAGTGGAATGTGTTTTCATTGTGGGGGCTGTCTCTCCCTATATCAAGGATAAATTGGCAGATATTGTTGGGAGAACAATCCAAATAGAGCCTGCTGAAGCTGCCCAGTTCAGTGTCACAAGAATTTGGCTGGCATCCCCATGCAGTCTTGTTATCTCTGTGCAAGTGGGTGGGTGCATGTGTGTGCACTTGCGTGCAAGTGTCCATGTGATTGTTCGTATGTGTATTTTTCACAAAAAGCCAGGGGGTCATGGAGCAGATTGCACAAGGCGACACATATCAGCCCTCTGCTGCCAACCAAAGCCAGCAGCGGAACAGCGGAGCTCCCTTTGGCATCTGTCTTCCTTAGAAGCGATCGACCCGGAGAGGCCCAACGCCCTGCTCTATTCTTTCCACAGAGTAAACTCTCATCTCCTGTTCAGTAAAGCCCATACAAACCTCTAGAATGAAAACAACAGTGCAGGTTATTTTCTGCTCCAACAGCCATTTTTTCCCTCTACAGTCAATATCTGCCCCTCAGAGAAATTTTAGCCCCCTACCAGTGCAGATGAAAGTGATGTTTTAACTACATGCTCCTCTGTCAGGACAACAGGACATTAGTAAGATTTTCTCCCATTCATTGGTTTGATTACCTAACAGTCATGTCTAGACTATTTCCTAAATTCAGGGCAATCAAATCAGACACACACTGCTTTTGGATGATATTCCAATAAATGCTTGACAGTAGACATATTTGCTTATGTAAAGCTGTGCAAACAAAATGGGTGGGAGTCATTCACTGAAGGAGCCCAGTCTGTGTGACGGGTCATCCTTAACGGTTAAACATGCAACCTCTCGGATCAACTGCTATTCTGACTGTGTTTCCTGACATTGTTGAAGTCACTGCTGATGCATTTCCTCATTCTGTTTGGTGTAGCCACATGTTGCTGATCACACACAGAGAAAAGCAATTTTTTTGTTTGGTGAACTAGCGTACACACACACACACACACACACACACACACAAGCACGCCACTATACACAAGCTTTTGGACTGTAAGGTAGTTCAAAGAGCCATCAAGTAGCCTCCGGGCTCCCGCAGGTCTTATGAAAGGCCAACTGTCATGCCCAGAGGCAACTCTCCTTTAGAGAAGGTCTTACAGCCAGGCCCTGTACCAGGCTCTGGAGGGTCTTTAAAGGGTCCATGTATGTACCAGGCCTGCCCAGGTTGCTCTGTCGTGTCATACTTCCTACCAGCTGTACTTCCTAAAGCCCTGCGTATCTCTAGGAAGCACCGTGAACTGGCAGAGAAACCACTCACACACACATTCAAGAAGTTAGGAATGACCAACATGACCTCATGTCACAAAACTCAGGGACAGGCAGGGCTTAAAATAGCAGCTGACAGGGTGAATGAGGTTATTAAAGTTGTGCAATATCCCTTCATTCGGATGTAAATGGAAATAATGTGCGTGGCAAACACCACTTTTCAGGATTTAGTGCTGATGTTATAGGTGTGTGTATGCGTAAAAAGCATCCAGTGTTGTGTGTGCCAACTGTTTGTTTCACTCAATGTACATACACACAACACAGACACACGACTTTCTCTGTATCCATAACAATGTCCCGTTCAAGCGGCCCGTCCTTAATTTAGGCATTTGTGCTACTCAACAAAACAACACAGAAATGCTTTGAGCAGTTCCTAAATTTAAACTCTGGACAGGAAGTGGGTCTGTATCTGTTTCCTGTTCCAGTATTGTTTCTCCCCAAGGATTGGTCGTTTGGGATTGTTCACCCTGACAATGGGGCTGCAGTGGGCATTGTTTTGTCCTGGCTCCCCTGTGTTTTGTTGACCTGATGTCATGACCGCTCCATCAAAGGCCAGTGAAGGATGAGGGAAATGGGCAGGGTGCCGGCTGTGGGGCTTGAGTCAATTAAGAGTGCTGGTACCACTTATAGCTCACAGAGAGTGTGTGCTTGTGTTTTATTTGGTGGTCTCTCTTAGGCTACCAGGTAGGTTTTAGGATATGGTGTACCACAATTGTGATAGGAGTGAGTGGAGAGCAGGGTCTTTTTGCGATAACGTCTGGGTATTTCTTTTAAAAACTGCACTAATCAACATGTTTACATTAACAATGAGTCTAATGATTACATGTACTGTGAAAGGGATCGCCCTCAGCTCTATGGAGCGTTTCAACGTCTTTCAGCTCATCGTTTTGATTTCACAACTTTACTGTTTTGGCTTACTGCTCTGTCAAAGTTAGCAACTACCTGGTGAACGTAGTGGAACATGTAGCAAGTAGAGATAGGCAGATGATAAAGAAACTCTGAATCTTGTTTAATTCCGGTGAAGCGCACTGCTTCAGCACATTGTGCCGGAGCTTGTGTCGAATGAATATCATGTGACTGAAAGCACCTCATTTAGTGTGACATAAACTGTGATCAGTACATTAGTGGCATCACACATAAGAGAAAATAAATTTTAATAACAATAAATACATTTTGAAATAACATTTAATATTTGGTTGCTTGACCCTTGCTTGCAATAACTACCTCAATCCTGCGACCCATCAGCATCACCAAACTGCTGCATTCTTCATTTGTGATGCTATTCCAGGCTTTTACCACAGCTTCTTTCAGTACGTGTTTGTTTCGGGGTGTTTCTCCCTTCAGTCTCCTGTTAAGGAAGTGAAATGCAGCTCTATTGGTTTAAGTTCAGCTGATTGACTTGGCCAGTCTAAAACCTTCCACTTTTTCCGCTGATGAAGTCCTTTGTTTTGTTAGCAGTGTGCTTTGGGTCATTGTCCTGCTGCATGATAAACTTCCTCACGATTAGTTTCAATGCATTTCTCCGTAAATTGGCAGACAAAATTCATTCTGCTGCTACCAACATCAATAAATATTAATGAGCCTGTTCCAGAAGCAGCCATGCACGCCCAAGCCATGACATCACCTCCACCACGCTTCACAGATGAGCTTGTATGCGTCTGATCATAAACAGTTCCTTTCTTTCTCCACACTTTGGCCTTTCCATCACTTTGCTAGAGATTAATCTTGGTCTCATCAGCCCATAAGATTGTGTTCCAGAACCTTTGCGGCTCATCTCTGTACCTCTCTGCAAATTTCAATCTGGCCTTCCGATTCTTCCTGCTGATGAGTGGTTTGCATCTTGTGGTGTGGCCTCTATATTTCTGCTCTCTGAGTCTTCTTCCAACAGTGGATTGTGATACCTTCACCCTGGACTGTGGATGTCGTTGCTGATGTCACTTACTGATGTTTTGGGGATTTTCTTCACAGCTCTTATCATATTTCATCAACTACTGTTGTTTTCTTTGGCCAACCTGTTCGACGTTTGTTGCTCAGTACACCAGTAGTTTCTTACTTTTTCAGGACATTCCAAATTGTTGTGCTTGCTATGCCCAATGTTTGTCCAATGGCTCTGGTCGATTTTCCTTCTTTTCTCAGCTTGACAATGGCTTGCTTTTCTCCCATAGACAGCTCTCATGTTGGTTTATCCTCTTTAACAGGAAATGCAGTCTTTATAAGTTTGAACCAAGGATGAAAACTTAGACTAGTCATGCCATGCAGAGCTATTTAATGTTTGGACTATCAACCTAAAAGGCAAGAAACACCCGGGCAACAAGACACATCTGTCAGTCACATGTTCCAATAGTTTTGCTCACTTGAAAAATGGGTGGGTTCAAACAAAGGGTGGTATGTCCTGAGTTGTTTAACACAAACCAACACAAACCCAAATGTCTTCAACAACAAAAACAAAGGAATTTGCCTTACTGTTCCAATACTTCTGGAGGGGACTGTATAACACAGGCTTCTTGGACTTTTATTGCACACATATGAGACTAAAAGTGCTGATAGCAGCGATGTGTGGTGGTGCTTTGGCCCCAGTCTTGAAGGGCTCCTTTAAGTTTTATGAGCCACTAGGTATCACTGTGTTTGCTAAGTCTGAAGCTCTTTTCCAGCACAAACAAAAAGAAGGCTTCATCCGCCCAGGCCTAGTAGCAATTAAAAATAGCCAGGTACTTCCGTCAGGAGTCGATGAAGACCACATTAGCTAAAATGAGAGCGAATTCTGGGCTTACATTTGCCAGGTGGCCAG